GCCCCCCCCTCCCCCGCCCCGGCTACTTGCCCCGGGCTCTGAGCTGCTCCAGCCTTGTCTATCCCCCCCATCCCCTTTTGATCCGCCGTGATTTTTGCATCGGATAACGCAGCCGCAGAGACCCGGAGGCTTCCCAAATCAGGGCGGTGAATAAACTGGGTACCGCAGCGACCGGGGATGCGAGGCCGACCCCAAGGCAACGCCGCATCCCCTCGAGGGGATGCGGGAACCTAAAAGGGAAGGTTGTGGGAAATGAGGGTCTTTGGCATCCGGAGGGCTGGGAAGGGGCTGAGAGCTGCTGGCGCAGTGTGGGGACTCTTATGGGCGGCTGTGGCTCCTTGTCCCGAGCTGAGTATGCGGCAGAATGCGATGTCTGGGCTCGGCCTGGTTGGTTTTAAGGAAGGGAGCTCCCCCCTCCTTCCGTCTCCAAAAGCAGCTGACGAACCAGAGGTCTGCAGAGATTTTTGGCTGGACTTCAGCAGTGATGCTGTCCGGGGGATTTTTCAGTATTCGCTAAGGTGCAGGAGGTATCAGGGACCCCGCAGGGACCAGCGTGTCTTTCTGCTCCCACCTGGGAGGGATCAGAGCTGCCTCTGATACTGGGAAGCATCATACTGTGGTTGGATGTCAGCTGGTGTGGAAAACTGCCCTGGGGGCTTGGCTTGTCTCTGCAAGTCCTTTCCTCCCCCGTGGGAGGACCTGCAGTGTCCATCAGCATCAGTCTGCAGGGGGTGTGTCAGAAACCGACCCCATTGCTTAAGGCTCCGCGTGGTTCCTGTCCCATCCTGGGGTCTGAAATGTTTTTCCTTGCTCTGCGCTTGCGTGACCTCTGTCTGCCACCGAGCACAACCTTCCCAAGTATTTTGAGCCACGGAGCTAAGAATAACTCACACGGTGCCCGTGTCTCGGCGGCACACAGCTCCCGTGTCCGCGGCCATGTCCAGCACCGGTAGGCAGGGTGGGAGAGGGTGCAGGGAGCCTGGCAGGGGCTGCGGGCAAGGGGAGTCCCCCCAGCCCCTCGGCAGGCTGTGGTGGGAGTGCTGGGGAGGTGGGAGCTGGAGGCTGTGTGGACAGCTGCATTTGAGATTCCTCCTCCTGCGGCCCCCCCTGGGCTCTGGGCAGCGGCTCAGACCAGAGGAGCCATCCCGCCGGCTCTGCGGGCAATGAGTGCCTCGCTGCTGGGAGAGGCTGCCAGGGAGCTGCTGGCTGCAGAGCGGCAGTCGGAGGGAGGAGGTGGTGGACAAAGGCTTTGGGGCCACCATAGAGGAGAGAAAGACTAGCACCACCTCGGAGAAGGGCAGCAGGTTTAGAGCATCCCAGGGCAGGAGGAGCGATGGGGAGGAGCGGATTTGCCTCCTGAAAAGCTTCTGGTTAGGGCAGGCCCTTGGGGCAGCAGCCAGGCTTATGCCCTGTGCACATGTCAAGAGCTTGTGCTCCTTTTCGCTGTTGCCTGCCTTCCCCCAGCTACTGCAGCTCTGCAGGGCTGTCCCTCCGGAGCCAGGCTGCACCCCACTTCCCTGGGATAGGGTGCTGGGCAGGCAGCAGCCGGCGCTTGGCATCCCAGTCTAGCTGCTCAGAGTGGGTTCCCAGCTCCTGGGTCGTTTTCCCAAAGACTGCTCCGCTGCCTCGTACGGAGAAACCTCCGGGAGAATTCGGCGCCAGCCCCGCTGAAGGAGCGGGAGCCGAGATGGCGGGGGAGCGGGGCAGGGTAAGCTGCAAATGCCCGGGGCGGAGGAGGGTCCCCATGGTGGTGGCACCTTCCCCATGTCCCTGCGGCAGGCGACCCCGCTTACCCGTGGGTGGGGGGGGTTTGGACCAGCCGGCGAGGGATCGGGGCGGTGATGAGGGGTGTCTGCGCTGCCCCAGGCTCCTGGTGCCGGGGTGCCCCGCTGAACCCCGCATCCCTTCCCATGTGCCTGCCAGCAGGCTGCTCCGCTTGAGTCACCCGGCCCATGTGTGCGTGTGTGAGAGTGTGTGTGTGTCGGGAAGGGCCGTCCCGCCTCTTCCTTCCCTCTCCGGCCCCATAGATAGAGCTGTCTCTGCCTCGCTGGGCTCCTCCCTTCCCAGCCCTATTGACTCAGTGCTCAGGCAGCCGGGGAGAGGGAGAAGGGAGTAGGAGAAAGGAGAGGGAGAAGGAGAAGGAAAAGAGGGAGAGGGAGAGGAGGGAGAAGAAGAGGGAGAAGGAGAGGCACCGGGAGCTGGGAGAAGCTGTCTAGCGGCTGCTGACGCCGGGACGAGGGAAGGTCCGGGAAAGCTGTGCCGAGAGGAGAGGCTGTCGGGGAGCGGAAAGTGCCTGAAATTCCTCCAGGCTCGGCCTTTCCGTGCAGCAGGGATGGGACAGGACAGGAGAGCTGCTGCGGGTTGCCTCCTCCCAACCGGCCCTCCAAGCCGGTTTGCTCCTTCGATCTCCCCTCAAGACGGCAGGGCTGTAATGGCTGGGCTGGAGGCCACGGCTCAGGACAGGGCTGCTGCCGGGGACAGGATCTGGGGAGGTCCTCCTGGCGCCTGGGCCCAGCCTGGGGATGCTCTGTGTGCTGGCTCTGCTTGCTGCGCCGGGGTGATGCTGACGGAGAAGGTCCCTGCTGTGGGGGTGGTGGGGAGCTGGGGATCCAGCCTCCCAGCCTGGCACTGTGTGAAATGGCTGATGTCCCCAGGGGGATGCGTGGGTACCAGGCCCTGCCTCAGCCCAGCCATGCCCATTTCGTTGCAGGGAGCGGAGCTGAAGGTAGTGCTGCCGGTGCCAAGCCATGATGCCCTTTGGTGGGATGGCTGCCCGTCTGCAGAGGGACCGCCTGAGAGCCGAGGGGGTTGGCCAACACAACAACGCCATCAAGTACCTCAACCAAGACTATGAGGCCCTCAAACAGGAGTGCATCGAGAGCGGTGCTCTCTTTAGGGACCCCCAGTTCCCAGCCGGCCCCTCTGCCCTTGGATTCAAGGAGCTGGGGCCACACTCCAGCAAGACGCGGGGGGTGGAGTGGAAGCGTCCATCGGTAAGTGCTGGGCTTGCTTCTCCTCAGGCTGGGCTGGTGTCCCTGCCCTGCAATGTCTGCACTGACGTGGCTTTCCAAGCTGCAGCTTGGCCCTGGCCTGCTCCTCTCGGTGCTCAAAGTCCTCGAGTGCTTCATAGTCCCCTTTCCCAAGGGCCTAGAGCAATGTCCCATGAGTGTCTGCTCAGAAAAACGTCATGTCTAGCAGGCCCTGCTTCCTCTGGGCAGCAGACTGTGGGCTTTAAAATGGGCGGGCTACATCACTGCTTCTAGGTGTCGTAGCATGGATGTGTCACCCTTGTTGACTTGGGGCTCTCGAGGTGTAAATATCCCCTGGTGTCACGAGTGCAAGGGCAATGCTATTAGTCTGTTTAGCTGTGTCCTCCCATGGCTACAGCAGAGGACCTTGCCTTGCCTTACCGTGATGGCCTCGGGGTTGCAGCCAAGCAGATTTCCCTGGCAGAGGGCAGGCGGGGTGCATCTCTCGGGGACAGTACACCCTTCCTCCCGAGTCAGAGCTGCAGCGGGTGCCAGCCCCCCAGAAGCCCAGGCCCTGCCGAAATCCAGCACAGGCATCTCATTCTCTCCTCCTCCTGCAGGAGTTAGTGGATGACCCTCAGTTCATCGTTGGCGGTGCAACCCGGACAGACATCTGCCAGGGGGCTCTGGGTGAGTGCTGGAGATCTGTCCTTGGACGTTGGTCCAGAGAGCAGTGGGCTGAGGAGGGTTGACATGGCTGGAGAAGACGTGTTTGTGTAAGGTGGAGGGTGGACCAGTTTCACAGCACCTTTCCCCAGGCCTGTGTGGAGTGTTTTCATGCCAGCCTCTGCACAACCATCTCTGTACCAAAGGCTCCCTTCCCATTTAGTGCAGTGGGAACTGGAAAGGGAGGGGGAGGGGACACCCTGTGCGTCCTGGTGGCTCTAGATTAAGGATCCATGAAAATAGGTCGATGTGCACACAGCTTTACCATGCTAAGGTCAGGGGAGATGTCAGGTTGATCCATACCTGAGACATGCTGACAACAATGCTAGGAGCTGCTCCAAAGAGCTCCCTGCTTTGGTAAATGGTGAGGGATGGCAGCTGCATGACAGTAACAAGCTGAGGTGAGGATGTGCTTGCGAAGCAATGCAGTATTGCAGAAGGGAATTGACAGGAGAGCTATGGAGTACAAGTGGTGATTTGTCATTTCTCCAGGGGGATCTCCCCGGGCAGAGGCACTGAGACAAGCAGAGCAGTGTTAATGGGCTGGGTAGGCTGGCAGGGCTGGCAACTGGGATTTCGTGGTCATCGGAACCAGATCTGGATACCACCATAAGTGTCGTCCTGGTCTGGATCAAGTTGAGTACTTGACTGGAAGTATCATGTACCTTAACACACATAGCACACTGGTTTCAGGGCTGACCACATTTAATGCATCCGGTAATTAGAACAAACTTGAGGTGTTAACTGGAGCACGTAACAGCCCAGAGCACTTCGGTGGTGTTCAATTGGTCATTAAAAAGTCTGGAATGCCATTTTGTCAAACCACAGCCTGGTACAGGTTATCCAGCCTCGAGGCTAAGGTGTGACAGGCTTCAAAGGCAACAGAGAAAGGGGAACCAAGGCGAAGAATTTAAAGCATATTGCTGGCCTGGAGCAGCACTTGTGGTTAAGAGCACTTGCAAGGAAAAGTGTGGTGGTGTTGCTCGCAATTTGAGAAGCCAGGGCAGCAGCATTAAACCTCTCGCTTGATAACATGTTTTTTTAAACGCAAAGTGTAATTCCGCTGCAGAACTCGCTGTCTGAGATGTGGAGGGCAGTCGTACAAATGAGTCCCAGAAGGGTCTAGAGAAACAGCTGCAGGAGGGGGCTGTTGGTGCTGACTGTATGTGGTGGTCTGGCCACAGACTCCAGGTCAGGGAGGATCGTTCCCTCTTTCCTTGAGCTAATACTTCTCTCCAAGGCAAGTTGAACAAGCCTGGCTCCCTGAGGTCTGTTTGTCTGCTGGACCCTCTCTGGTTTCTCCATGTGCTTTTTGAGCTGGGGAGTCCCAAATATTTGCGAGGAGAGCACATCATGGGCTCCTACATATCCGTCACCTATCCTCCCAGCTAGGGAGGCGGTGGGTGCTCATGCTGGCTTCCTCTCCTTCCCCAGGCGACTGCTGGCTGCTGGCTGCCATCGGCTCCCTCACGCTCAATGAGGAGCTCCTGCACCGCGTGGTGCCCCATGGGCAGAGCTTCCAGGAGGACTATGCTGGCATCTTCCACTTCCAGGTGGGCTGGGAGCTCCTGTCCCTCCACAGCTGGTGGGATGGGGGCAGGAGGGAGGACAGTGGGTCGAAGGCATCCCTCTGAGGTAGGGATGAGCAAGTTGTGTGATGCTCTGAGCTCACCCCACTCTCTCCTGACCTCCCAGATCTGGCAGTTCGGTGAGTGGGTGGACGTGGTGGTGGATGACCAGCTGCCCACCAAGGACGGGGAGCTCCTGTTTGTGCACTCGGCAGAGTGCACCGAGTTCTGGAGTGCTTTGCTGGAGAAGGCCTACGCCAAGTATGTACCCCCGTGATGGGCACAGGGATGGGTGGGGGACAGGGCATGGTGCTGTGGAGGGGAGGGGGGTCTCTTCTGTCCCTGGCCCTGCTTGCACTGGGTGCCTGGGGAGCAGCAGTGTGTGATGTCCTTGTCACCTCATGTGCCCCTCTTGCTGGCTGGTGCTCAGGCTGAACGGCTGCTACGAGTCGCTCTCAGGGGGCAGCACCACCGAGGGCTTTGAGGACTTCACCGGCGGCGTGGCAGAGATGTATGACCTCAAGCGGCCGCCGCGCAACATGGGCCACATCATCCGCAAGGCGCTGGAGAGGGGGTCCCTGCTGGGCTGCTCCATCGACGTAAGTGGTGTGCCGGTATAGGCCAGGGGCTCTGCCAAAGCGAGGCCTCACAGCCTGAGATCGTGGCAGCAGTCCCCTCGCTGGGACACTGGGTGGGAGGTTACTTCTTTCCCCTCGTAGCAGAGCACCCTTTCCAAAGCCAGCGTGGCACAGCAAGTGGGGCTGCAGCCCAGCTGCTGGAAACAGACTCCTTTGGGTGGAGTGGGAATGTCCATCTCAAGTGTGGGCTGTTGAAGAAGGGTCTGCCTTTAGCTCTGGCCATGTCTTACATCAGCATCTGTGAATTATCTGGAGTGAGGTTTTCCATCCATTCCCTCTCATGAAATCCTTTTCTTGCTTTCTGAAGTTTGGGTGGTTCCTTGATGGACCTTCAGGGTCTTCTGGCTGGGAAGCTGTCTTTACATTGTCCTCAGCCAGCAGCCTTTGAATAGAGGGTGCTGGTATCTGCTGCTTCTCTTGGCTGGAGCAGTGCAAAGCAAGGGGAATTCTCCACATGGTGGAAGGGAGGGGTAGAGGTAGGACTATGTGAATTTAACCATACTCACTTGAGCTTTGCACATTCTCCTCAGATCACAAGTGCCTTTGATATGGAAGCAGTGACCTTCAAGAAGCTGGTGAAGGGCCACGCCTATTCTGTCACAGCCTTCAGAGATGTGAGTTGGCTATGTGAGACTTTAATAGCAATAAAATAGCCTGGCCAGGGGCATGGGCTCAACCTCCTGTGTCTGCTGGCTGGCAGGTGAACTACCGGGGTCAGCAGTAACAGCTCATCCGCATCAGGAACCCCTGGGGTCAGGTGGAGTGGACCGGAGCCTGGAGCGATGGGTGAGTTGGACAGATGGGACTTCAGTCCCTCCACTGGCAGGGCAGCGGGCACTGAGCACACAGCAGTCGAGAGCATGGCACTGCGGAGGGGAAGTTCACAGCATGCAGTGGCCTTCGCATCGGCAAGGGGAGCAGCTGAGGGCCAGCTCTGAAGTGCTCTCGATTCACCTTGAGTAGTCCTCATCTCATTGTCTCTCTCCTGGTACTCCAGCTCTTCTGAGTGGAACAACATTGACCCTGGTGACAGGGAAGAGCTGCAGCTGAAGATGGAGGATGGAGAGTTCTGGTGAGTGCTGGAGCAAAGTCCTGCTCTTCTTCAGCAGCCAGCCTGGGAAGAAGCAGAGGAGATGGGGAGAGATCCCACAGTCCTGCTTCACCTGAAACACATGACTTGCCTTTATGAGCTGGGTTTCTAGCTCCAGAGAGTCTGCTAGCATTTTCTTATCTGATCTCGTTAATAATTTTCCTCCCTTCAAGGAAATTCAGCCCAACTAAATGCAAAATAAATGTCTAGGAAGGGTAAACATCCCTTCTTCCCCAAACCCAGTAGTGGGCTTTAAATGAGCTATAACTGCTCAAGGTAAAAGATCTTGCTGTCACTTAATTCTCCCAAAACACTGGCTGGGTCCAGAGTTGCTCGCGCTCTCCTCCCTCCCACCCCAGCAGTGCCCTGGCCTCAACCTCTGCCTGCCTCCTGCAGGATGTCTTTCCGGGACTTCATGAGGGAGTTCTCCAGGCTGGAGATCTGCAACCTGACCCCCGATGCCCTGACCAAGGATGAGCTTAGCAGGTGGCACACGCAGGTGTTCGAGGGCACATGGCGCCGGGGGAGCACTGCCGGGGGCTGCAGGAATCACCCAGGTACCTCTCCCCCCTGCATCTCCACTCTTGGTGGCATGATTGAGCCAGGTGTCTCATCCATGTGTCCTCTTCCTCCCAGCCACGTTCTGGATCAACCCCCAGTTTAAGATCAAGCTGCTGGAAGAGGATGATGACCCTGGGGATGATGAAGTGGCCTGCAGCTTCCTGGTGGCTCTGATGCAGAAGCACCGGCGACGGGAGCGGCGAGTCGGGGGCGACATGCACACCATCGGCTTCGCTGTCTACGAGGTAACCCCTGCCCACCCCACTGCTGCTTCCTTGGAACCAGCTCAGCCCTGCCAGTCCTGCCTGGACCTGGCACCCCAGTCCTCAAGGAAACCTTTCTCACCTGCTTTGGCTGGTCTGTGGATTAATGTCTCCTGTTCCATGCTCCCTGCTCTGTAAGGGATGGGGGCAGGTACCGGGATTCTGAATTTTTTTTTTTTCCCTTTTCTCTCCTCCCTGCAGGTTCCTGAGGAGGTACGTCCTGAGCTGCTGGAGCTTAGCCCCTCTTGGAGAGGAGCACAGGAGTGGACAGGAATGGTTTAGTGCACATGCATGTATGCACGTGCACCCAGTGGTGTGGGAGCTCCCACCACGCTGGCAGTGGCTATGGTACTGATGGGTGCTGTGCACCTCTGTTCAGGAGGGATGGCTTCTGCTGGGATGGGCAGGGCAGGGATGTCCTGCCCAACGGGGCTGGCTTTGGTTTCACTGCTCCCAGTGGGTCCCCCCGTCGTGGAGCTGTGGTCCACAAGCATGTTCATTCCCCCAGGCCCAGGGCAGCCAGAACGTGCACTTGAAGAAGGATTTCTTCCTGCGAAACCAGTCGCGGGCACGGTCTGAGACCTTCATCAACCTACGGGAGGTGAGCAACCAGATCCGGCTGCCCCCGGGCGAGTACATCATTGTGCCCTCCACGTTCGAGCCACACAAGGAGGCCGACTTCGTCCTGCGGGTCTTCACAGAGAAGCAGTCGGACACAGAGTGAGTCCCTGCCTGGCCAGGGGACACCCTGTGTCTGTGAGCAGTTTGACATTTTC